TATAAACTGTGGCTGTTTTTCTCTGTTCCCTCTACACTGCGCCCCGGGTGGATAGCCAGTCATAAACTGTTGGCTTACCATCCCATTGAACCCATAAGCACAAGCCCTGCTGGCTACCAGAGCCAGGCTGTTGAGTACTGTGTCCTTTGGGCGACAGCCAAAATAGCTGGGGTGTCATACATATACATAGGTGCTTTCACGGAGACACTGGTGACCTGGAGCATGGCAGAGGGGTAGTGCATGCGAACATGGTGCCCGCTGGCCTCCCAAGTCTGTGCAGAGGAGAGACCCTTAGGCCACGGTTTTTGGAGATCAACACATCGGCGTCTTTCATGGAAAGACTGGGCTTTTCAGTGTGCTACCTCTATACTGTACCATGGTGGGATAGCCGATTCAGAACGGTTTCTTTGTTGCGGTCCTGTGAGACCTGGAAACCTAAGCCCCTTGGCCACCAGAGCCAAGTTATCAAGGGATGTATCCCTTGGGCAGTCAGTGCAAAAGCCACTGTATCAGTTGGATGCATAAGCTCTTTCTGGGAGATAACTGCTGACCTGGAGCAAGGCAGAGAACATGAAGATGGTGACAGCCAGCCACCCCATTCTCTAGAGAGTATTTTTGTCAGCCCCTAGATGTGTGCTAAATTAGGTAACTGCCACTCAGGCTGATGCTGTCAGATAAGCAAATAAGCCTCTTACACAGAAAGACTGGAAGTCTGGGTACTTTTCAGTCGACTGCCTCTGCGCTAGGCCCTGGGTTGGTAAACTCACATGCATGAGCCCTTGGACAACTATTTCTCAGTTTCTGTAGCCTTGTGGGTCTTGTGGAGCAAGCCCTTTGGCTTACAAAGCTAGATGTTGGGGAGTTCACCTCTCACATGCAGACCTTATAAGTTGGTGTGCCAGATACGGAGTTCAAACCTGTCACTCTTTAGAGGGAAGATCGGGTTCTCTCCTGATTGTGTGTTGCTGCACCAGTGATGGGGTTTATGGTGAATTGTGTCTCAGCCTCTTACGCATTTCCATGTGCGGTTTTTCTCATTCACCCAGTGTGTAGGAGTTGCTAAGTCAATTTCTGATTTTCTTTCAGAGGAAGTTGTTCAATAAGTGGCTGTGGGTTTGGTGTGTCTGTGGGAGAAGGTGAGTTCAGGGCCTCTGGTGTTGCCATCTTGAACTCAGTAATCGAGTTTGTAGATAATTATCAGAATCTTCCTATTTGGGGTATCTGAAACATGGTAAGTAGTATCCCCATTTGCTTTGGGGCATAGCCTTGTGCCCTTTTTCTGCCCTAACACTCAGCTGCTTTGTGATTCTAGAAAAATAACTGCATGCTACCTGAGGATGTGAAGAATTTTTACCTGATGACCAACGGCTTCCACATGACATGGAGTGTAAAGCTGGATGGTGAGACAACCTTCTTGCTATAGGGTAACATTTCCCTGGCTGAGAGATTGGGTATCTCGATAGTTTTCGGGAGTTCTCTGAAAGTGTGATGTCCAGAATCTAGGATTCTCTCCCAAAGCCAATACATATCATCGTTTCACCCACCACCCACTATGCCACAGTCTAGCTGGTACTTAACTGGAAACTCAATCTAGAGGCTTCCTTTTGGTACGAGCAGGTGAAAAACATTAATCACTACACAAAATTCTTGTACTACTTCAAACGTAAGGTCTCTGAAGGCTGCACCTCAGAGCAGTCTCCTCCAGAGTGAGGGAAGGAACAGCCACTGATGGTCCTAAGATGGGCAACTCCCTGGGGTACATGGGTGGCTCAGTCGGTTAAATGTCCAACTTTAAATCTCAGCTCAGGTAATGATCTCAGCACGTTACTTAAGATTCTCTCCCTCCTTCTTCCCTCTCAAAAAAAAAAAAAGATGAAATAAGAGGGGCAATTTCCTTCATTCCCAGATTGGCAATGATCTCAAGAGCTGTGTCCCTCACACCAGATCTTAAACTTCTCTCCACACCTCCCCAGCATAAGTTACCAACCACCTTACTTCTCTAGTTGTCATCCTAAGTATTAAATGTGTCTAGGACAGACATTCGTGTTGTAGATGTGGGAACTCATAACTTAGTAGTACAGATACTACGTACACATAAAAGGCGATGACGCACGTTAAGTGACAACTCCTGTCAAATTTCATAAGCCAGGAAACCCTGTTCTAGCCATTCCTTCCACAGACTTTCCTGGCCAGAAGAGGCCTTTATTGCCTCTGGACTCCAACCACCTCCCCATATCTACTTTCGTCCTCAGGAAGCATCCTGCACCTCCCCGTGCTGTCACTAAGAATGCAGAATTTTTATTGCACAGCGGATCTGCAGACCTGACTTCTGTCCTTCGTTTCCTCCACCTCCTGAGTTCCTTTTGGTGATTCTCAAAGTCGTCTCTCTCTCTTTCTCTCTCTCTCACCTGACCAGAGGCACTTTTTATAGCTTATTATTGAGCAGTTAACATGAACTTTTAGCTTTGAATTATTTCCTCCATTGGCCTGAAACCATTCTTGTCACCAGCATCAGAGCCCTTCTTTGTAGCATGGCCATGGCCTTTGCAGTCTGGAGTAAGAGAGAGAATGGACAGAGACTAGACCGACGGACAGATTTTCCCTTGCCCACATCATGAAGACAGACTAGCCCCTTCACAAGTGCCCTCGGACAAAAGTTTCATGAAGTTTTCATGAACAAGTCCCTGTTCATTATTCTAATATCTAATTTAATTCTCCTAATCCTAGTCGTTTTATGCGATCCCCAGTTCTGTCCCCATTTCCGTCCTTTCTTGGAGAGCTAAACTCAACAACAGAGAAGGCAGCAGAGGCAGCTTCTGAGGTTTACCTCTTGGTCTGTCCTGCTTGGAGTTTCCGTGGTCTGTATACCAGCTGTTTTACTGCCTTCAGTTTTTTCAGCAGTCAGATTTCTAGGTCTTCATGTGCCATCCAGTGTCTAGTATCCTATATGACGAGGATGCTGTATAATTGTTAAGGAAGCTATGTGTTTGCCTGTTTCTTATTTACAGCCTAATCCCAGAAGACTAGAATCCGGCAAGAATGCCACCAAGTTCTCTGCAATAAGTAGGGACAAATGACACATAGAGAGCTATCTTCCATTGTGGAAAGCTTAGAAGAAGAGAAGTATAACCCTTCATGCAAGGGAAAGAGAGCAAAAACCTTTTTAGGTCCTTTGCTCTTCAAACAGAGTCCCTAGCCCAGATGTCCGAGTTCTTTTTGAGCGTCCCCTTTGTAAATTCCTTTAATACTCTGTTCCAATGTGTGGAGTGGGGGGTCTCTTCACCCATGATTTGTTGCCCTTTTTTGTTGTTGTTGTTGCATGAAAGGTTGTTGCTCTGGGGCATATAGTCCACTGATCCTCTTCCTTTCCATCAGATTCCTCAGCCCTGGAATCAAACAACAGTTGGGCTTAAGTTACTCAAGCAGAAATCCTTATGATGATACGGTAACAAGGCTTTTTCTCTTTGCTAATGTTTCCCTAGAGCACACCATTCCACTGGGCAGTATGGTTATTAACAGCATCTCAAAACTGACTCAACTCAACCAGTCTTCTGTGTATTCACTCCCTAATGCACCAACTCTGGCAGACCTGGAGGATGATGCACTTGAAGGTACCTGAAGGAACCTCTGCTCTGAGTTAGAAATTAACGTGTTTGTTTCCTTCTATAATGTTGAAAACGGTAGGAAGACGCTGTGGCATTATAGTACTCTCCCCAAACCAAAACCTTTCCCCTGTGTGACTTCTTAGGACCATGGGAGTGAGGTAAGAAAACAGCCTGTATCAACAAAGGAAATTTTCATGAAGAAATGCCAGGGTTGAGATTTTTGTTTTGTTTCCAGCACTCGCTTCAGTGACTGGCACAGAGTTGGCACTTAATGTATGCCTAGTAAATGAATGAATGTTAAAGATCAACTTCACTCAACATTTCTGTGTCAGGAGCTTTCAGGGAACATGGAATCTAAATGCAGCTCCCTTCCTCCCCAGGCTCTTTGCCATTCCTGATTTAAATTGTTGCTAAAAGCTAGGAGCAACTGGGCATAAGTGAGAACTTTGTCAGAATCGATTTGGCTGCATGTATCAGAGACCCCTTACAACATCTAAACTAAATAGGAGTTTATTTTTTTCATAACAAGAAATCTGAACTAGGCTGGTGCAGCTGTTTGAGAAAGTCAATGATAAAGTCTCCCTCTGGCTTCTTCCACCCACCTTTGGATATGGCTTTCATCCTCATCATTGGGGAATGTGGGCTCTACTTCCTAGCTTCCAGTCTATGTTCCAGACAGGAAAAAAGTAAAAAGCAAAGCAACAACTAAAACTGTCTTTTGGCAGAATCTCTCCTGTTTTATCAAGAAAACAGTAGTTTTCTCAGGATCTCCTGAAGCCACTGGCTAGAAGAGAGTCAAAATGTTATCCATAGTTGCAAGGGAATCTGAGGAAGTGAGTATGTTTACCTGTTCAGCATTGTCTCCTCAAACAGAATTGGAGTTTAAGAAAGAGAGGGAGAATGAATATTGAGCAGGTAACTAGTGTCTCCAATGCCAAGGCCTTGGGTGCATTTAAGGCCATTCTCTCACTAGAAAACCGATGCAAGGCTTTCTGCAACAACTGCATTGGCAGTTGGACACTAGCATAGGCATCCCTAGGAGATCCCACGGGTGCACAGTTCCAGACTGTTTCAGTTTCTTAAACATTAAAACTTGAAATGACTTCTTGATCCATGCGTTGCAGTATGGATGTTGTGTTAGCAAGCATGAGAACATTAATCTCATGGTACATCTCCATCAGATGGACCAAGTGCATTGTCCATAAACAGTGATATTTTGAGAGTAATCTTTTTTTCTGAACAGTTGGTCTCAACAATGGGGTTAAAATATTCAATAAACCATGTTGTTAGCAGATGTACTGTCATCCAAGCTTTGTTGTTCTGTTTTTAGAGCAAGGCAGAGATGATTTAGCATAATTCTTAAGGGCCCTAGGATTTTCAGAATGGTCAGTGAGCATTGGCTTCCACCAAGTCACCAGCTACAGTAGTCCTTTCAAAGAGAGTAAGCCTGTCCTTTGAGGCTTTGAAGGTCCTAGGTGGTGTCTTCTTCTAATAGAAGGATGTTTGGTCTACATTGAAAACCTGCTATTTAGCCAGCACCTTCATTAATTATCTTAGCTAGATCTTCTGGATAACTTGCTATTTTGCCTTGCACTTTTATGTTATAGAGACAGCTTCTTTCCTCAGACCTCATGAACTAACCTCTGCTAGCTTCAGACTTTTCTTCTGCAGGTTCCTCACCTGTCAGCCATAGAATTAAAGAGAGTTAACGTCTTGATCTGGATTAGACTTTGCCTTAAGAGAATGTGATGGCTGGTTTGATCTTCTATCTAGATCACTAAAACTTTCTCCGTATCAGCAATAAGCTGTTTTACTTCCTTATCATTCAGGTGTTCACCAGAGTAGCACTTTTAATTTCCTTCGCACTTATGACTGGGCTGTTTGGCACAAGAAGCCTAGCATTCGGCCTGTCTTGGCTTTCAACATGCCTTCAGTGCAAAGCTTAATCATTTCTAGCATTTGATTTAAAGTGAGAGTCATGCGACTCTTCCTTTCACTTGAACCTTCAAAGGCCATTCACTGTAGGGTTACTGATTGGTCTAATTTCATTATTGTTGTGTCTCACAGAACAGAGAAGCCTGAGGAGAGGAAGAGAGATGGGGGAATAATAGCCAGTGGTACAGTCAGAACACATACGCTAATCGTTTGCTGCCTTCTGCAGGTGTGTTTCATAACAATTACAATAATAACATCAAAATCAGTGCAAACCTCACCAGCACTGTATCTCCCCATCCCTGCATTTTGCAGGGCCTCTGTCTCTGCAGCAGCGACTATGACAGCAGCTGTAGCAGGCCCTGCAGAAGGCCAAGGGGTGCCTTGTTAAGGCTGAGTGCCCCGCCCATGCACACTTGGCAGAGAAGCAGTGGCAGCAGGTCTCATTTTGCAAGCAGACTGGTGCATACCTTGTTAAAACACACCTCTACCCTGGCTGGAGACCAAACACTGCCCACAGTAGGCCAAGAGAGCTTCTGCAGATGACTGCACTGAAGGAAAAGGTACCTAGGACACAACAGGACACACACAACACATATAAGAAACATACCTGAAGCGCCAGGTCCTGGTGAACAGGGGACACTGTACTGTGGGGCACTGCAGGAATGCTTCTTCATAATGCCATTACTTTGAAGAGCAAGAGACATAGCTGACTTTCCTAACACACAGAAACAGATACAGAGTTAGACAAAATGAGACCGAGGAATATGTCCCCAGTGAAAGAGACCAAAGTGAAACAGATATAAGTAGTATGCCTAATAGAGAATTTAAAGTAATGGTCATAAAGATACTTACTGGACTTGAGAAAGGAGTGAAGAACATCAGTGAGACCCTTAACACAAAGATAAAAAAGAATCAGAGATGAAGAACACAGTGAAATTTAAAATGCACTTAATGGAATGAATAGACTAGAGGAAGCAAAGGAATTAATGACCTGGAAGACAGAGTAAAGGAAAGCCATCAGGCTAAACAATGATATAAAAAAGAATTATGCAAAGTGAGAATAGACTTAGGGAACTCAGTGACTCCATCAAGTTGTAAGAACATTCATGTTATACAGATCCAACAAGAAGGAGAGAGAGAAAAGGGAGCAGAAAATTTATTTGAAGAAATTGTAGCTGAAAACTTCCCTTGTCTAGGGAAGGAAACAGATATTCAGATCCAGGAAGCACAGACATCTCCCCCAGAAATCAACCCAAGGAGATCCACACCAAGACACATAGTAATTAAAATGGCAAAAGTAGTTATAAAGAAAAAACAATTTTTTGAGAGAGAGAGAGAGCATGAGCAGGAAAGGGGCAGAGAAGGAAAGAGAAAAAATCTTAAGCAGGCTTCCCGCCCAGCATGGAGCCCAACGTGGGGCTCAGTCTCATGACCGTGAGATCATGACCTGACCAAAATCAAGAGTCGTTCGCTTATCCATCTGAGCCACCTAGCCATCCCGATAAAGAAAATATTTTAAAAGCAGCAAGAGAAAAGGAAACAGTTCCATATAAGAAAAACCGCACAATGCTATATGCAGATTATTCAGCAGAAACTTTGCAGACCAGTATGGAGTGGCATCGTATATTCAAAGTGCTGAGGGGCGCCTGGGTGGCGCAGTCGGTTAAGCGTCCGACTTCAGCCAGGTCACCATCTCGCGGTCCGTGAGTTCGAGCCCCGCGTCGGGCTCTGGGCTGATGGCTCAGAGCCTGGAGCCTGTTTCCGATTCTGTGTCTCCCTCTCTCTCTGCCCCTCCCCCGTTCATGCTCTGTCTCTCTCTGTCCCAAAAATAAATAAATGTTGAAAAAAAAAAAAAAATTCAAAGTGCTGAAAGGATAAAATGTGCAGCCAAGAATACTCTCACCAGCAAGGCTATCATTCAGAATAGAAGGAGAGAAAAAGACTTTCTCATATAGACAAAAACAAAAGGCGTTCGTGACCATTAAACCAGCCCTACAAGAAATATTAAAGGACACTCTTTGGGAAGGAAAGAATAAGTAAAAAATATGAGAAGTAAAAACACAATAGCAATAAAAGTAACATACCCATAAAAATCAGTCAAGGATTCACAGAATAAAACAATGTAAAATATGACCCCATATACCTAGAATGTGCGGGGAGGAAGGAGTAAGAATGGGTTCAGACTTTAAAAGTCACTGATCAAAGATCATCATAACAAATATAATAATACAAAAGATTGAAATATCGCACAAATTACCAAAATGTAACACAGACACAAAGTGAACAAATGCTGTTTGAAAAATGATAACAGTAGACTTGCTCAACAGGTTGCCACAAACGTTCAAAGCACAACAAAGCAATTTATGCCTGTACTAGAGGAATTCAGGAGCAAAAACTGGGAAGAGCCTGCCACTCAAGAGATGTATGTAGTTCTCAAGAGAGGAAAGGTCACATCTCCTTCTTATGTGTGCTAGGGCTTTTGAACCCCTGAAGGCAAAGAAGTTGTTAAATAAGTAGACTGAGTCTTCCCCGCCTTTGAAGTTGGAAGAATAGAGGTGAACTGGATACCAGAGAGGATCTCAAGAGCCCTCAGCAAAGGACACAGCTAGGGAGAGAGACCACATTGTCCTACATACCCATAGAGTTAGGGTATGTCCTACATACCCAGTTGGCGTTGGGGCACCTTCTAGGTTCACGCCTTTTAGGATAGTCCAGCAGTTAGAGCCAAGTCTTATTTAAAACAAACAAAATTAATGTTTATTACTTTTGAGACAGAGCTGGAGAACATGTGGGCGAGGGGCAGAGAGAAGGAGACAGAGGATCCCAAATGGGCTTCATGTTGAGAGCAGAATGTGGGGCTTGAACTCATGAGCCATGAGATCATGACCTGAGCCAAAGTCAGATGCTTAACTGACTGAGCTACCAGGCTCCCCTAGACCTAAGTCTAATTGGAGGAGTGCCTGGGTGGCTCAGTCAGTTAAAATCCAACTTGTGATTTCAGCTCAGATCATGATCTCATGACCATGAGCTCGAGCCCCACATCAGGCTCTGTGCTGAGCTGTGGAGATTTC